TTGAATGAGTGCATGGCCCTTGATTTGAACAAATTTGAATCCCCTTCACCCAAGGATGCTTTGTCGCAAGTTTGGTTGAAATTGGCCCACCGGTTCTTGAGAAGAAGTCGAAAATGTGAAAAGTTTACAGACGGACAGACAGACAGATGGACGACGGACAGACAGACAGATGGACGACGGACAGAATGTGATCAGAAAAGCTCACTTGAGCTTTCAGCTCAGGTGAGCTAATAAAAAGGTTTCTTCCATTCCTCTATTGGCTCCATTTATCCCAGTGAACTTAAATACATGTAAGAGGTGAAGTCTTACACATCTGTATCATATTTAGATATTTGACTAGAAAAGCCGTTAACATTACCCTAACAAAGATGTTATTTTTCAATGAAGCCTTGACTTGATAACTTCGATATCCTCATATTTTTTAAATGCTAAGGGGGAGAAAACGGATGAGTTGTGTCTGTAAGGTTTCCTGATATGTTATTATATTTGGCATGTTGCCGAGTACAGGACAATTACTTTGATTTACCTAAATTTTCTCAAAAACAAAGAATTTCGATTATAAATAGCAAAAGTAACTCTTTTAATAGTGTATTATGTATTTAGAAATAGGAGAGAAAGTTCACTTTTTACGAATATGAGGATGACTCAGGCTATTGAGACTATGTATTAGGCATAATCTAAAAACATCAATGGAACATTCATATGCACAGTTTTTACAAAAATTAGCTGTAATTTACTACAGTTAACTATAGAAAATACATTGATTTAATATGAAACTTTAATACTGACCTCATTTGAAATCTCAAATTTCAAAATCCTTCTAACAAAATTTGGAAGAAATATATGGATATTCAAGTAGTTATATTAATTCAAAAATGAGCATGTTAAAATTGAAAGACATAAAAATATAACAATCTGAAATCCAAAGTAAAAAATTGATTTTCTATTATAGTTAAAAAAATTGATTAACTCTAAGTAAAAATATAATACACTGTGGTTTACAACATAACACTATAGTTAAAACCTAAAATAAAACCGTGTAAACTTAAAGTAAAAACAAGATGTGTTTGTGAAACACTACACGCCCGAGGGCAACAACGTTCGAAAAAAGCTAATTTTAGCATATAGGTCACAGTCAAGGACACAAGGTAAATGACCTTGGTGTCATTTTATAGAACTTGATTAGTGGAGTATGCATACCAAACATGAAGTCTCTATCTCCTATGGTTCAAAAGTAATGGAGAAGGCAAAAAAAGCTATTTTCAGCATACAGGTCACAGATTACAACATCATTCACTTTGGTGTCATTTGAAAAATATTAATTAGTGGAATATGCACATCAAATATGAAGTCTCAATCTTTCATGGTTCAAAAGTTATGAAAAAGGTGCAAGAAAACTATTTTTAGCATATACATGTAGGTCAAAGTCAAGGTCACAAGGCCATTGACCTTGGTATCATTTAAAAGAGCTTAATTAGCGGAGTATGCATACCAAGTATGAAGTCTCTATCTTTCATGGTTCAAAAGTAATGGCAAAGGTTAAAGTTTTCAGACAAAAAAGCTATTTTTAGCATATAGATCACATTGAAGGTCACAAGGTCATTGACCTTGGTGTAAATTGAAAGACATTACATGTAATTAGTGTAGTATGCATACAAAATACAAACTATTTATCTTTCATGGTTCAACAGTTATGGCGAAAGGTCACAAGGTCAGTGTACATGGAGTCATTTGAAAAAGCTTAATTAGTGAAATAAGCACACCAAATATGAAGTCTTAATCTTTCATGGTTCAAAAGTTAGGGCTAAGGTTCAAGTTTGCAGACAAACAAACAGAGAGAACGGGACGAAGACAAAATATACGCCCAGATCTATTGATCCAGGCGCATATTTATTTATACACATTCAAGTATTCTTTATGTATATTTACAAAAATGACTAAGATACATTTAAGGGATTAAAAGAGGTACATTGACGGTAAAGACGACATCTTGTACATAAAGACATTGTAACAGTAATCAATACATTCCTTTAATTAACATAATATATCAAAATAAGAGGCCCATTAGCCATACCGCTCACCTCAGCACTGTGGCTAGTAAAAAAGCAAAAATAGGTCATTTTGGAAATCTTAAAATGCATATGTGGTCCCGACCTACTCCGGAATACGAAAGGGGGGGATTTATGGTTTGAATTAACTTGAATCTACACTAATTATGATGCTTACAAATTTCTTTGAGTTACTGTGGAATATTTCCTATAAGTTTGAACTTTCATCTTGGGCCCAACCTATCCCCAGCGGTCGTGATTTGAAGAAACTTGAATCTTTACTTTTCCCAAGAATGCTTCCATATAACTATGACCAATCAAGGCTTTGTTGTTCTTCTTCAGATTTTTCCTATATATTCCATGTAAAACTTCGATTGTCCATTGTGGCCCGACCCTACCCCTGGGGGTCATGATTTGAACGAACTTGAATCTACACTACCTGAAGATGTTTCCACATTAGTTTCATCTTTCCTGACTCAGTGGTTCTTGAAAAGATTTTTCAAACATGCCACCAAATATTTTTCTTTTTCTTAATTATCTCCCCTTGCAAGAGGGCAAGGCCCTTCATTTGAAAAAAAAAAAACAAGAGGCCCAAGGGCCTTGAATCGCTCTTCTGATAAATTATACAATCTATCCTAAGACCCAAGATGCATCAACTGACAAAGTTTGATGATTCTTAGCCAGTTAGGGCTGAAGATATTTAAATGTAACTATAAAATACTATAAGTAGGTCATGGTGACCTACTTTTTGATTGAAATTTTCTGAGGACACAAGGTGCATTAATTGACAAAGATTGATGATTCTAAGCCAATAAGTACTTGAAATATTTAAAAGTGGGTCACAGTGACCTACTTATTGGTCAACATTCTCCGAAAACCCAAGGTGCATAAACTGACAAAGTTTGACAATTCTAAGCCAATAAGTACCCTAGAATACTTAAATATAGCCATAAATGTCACAAGTAGGTCACTGTGACCTATATTTTGATCATCATTCTCCAAGAACCCAAGATGCATCAAATAACAAAGTTTGATGATTTTAAACCAATAAGTACCCGAAATACCTAAATTTAGTCATAAAATGACAAAAGTAGGTCACTGTGACCTACTTTTTGGTCAACATTCTCCGAAAACCCAAGATGCATCTACTGACAAAGTTTGATGATTCTAAGCCAATCAGTACCTGAGATATTCAAAAAAGGGTCACCGTGACCTACTTTTTGGTCAACATGCTCTGAAAAATCTAAGATGCATCAAATGACAAAATTTGATGATTCTATACCAATTAGTATCTGAGATACATAAAACTAGCCATAAAATGTCAAAAATAGGTCACTGTGACCTACTTTTTGGTCTACATGCTCCGAAAACCCAATATGCATCAACTCACAAAGTTTGATGATTCTAAGCCAATAAGTACCTGAGATACTAAAATATAGCTATAAAATGTCAAAAGTAGGTCACTGTGACCTACTTTTTGGTCGTTAATCTCCGAAAACCCAAGATGCATCAACTGACAAATTTTAATGATTCTAAGCCAATTAGTACCCAAGATACTTAAATCTAGCCATAAAATGTCGAAAGTAGGTCACAGTGACCTACTTTTTGGTCAACATTTTCTGAAGACCAAAGATGCATCAACTGACAAAATTTGATGGTCATAGGTCTAATAGTATTCAAAATATGCCTTTTAAACAATTTAAAAACAAATGCCTGCAAAGTTCAAAAAGTAGATCACAGTGACCTACTTTTTGATAAATATGTTTTAAGGCCTCTAGATGCATCAACTTACAAGATTTGGTGATTCTAAACCTCTTGGTGTCTGAAATAATGGGATTAAATGTTTTAGAAAACATTTGCCATAAAATTCAAAAAGTAGGTCATCTCTACTTTTAAGTTGATGTTGTTTGTGGACCCAAGATGCACACACTGACAAAGTTTTATGAACATAGGCCTTAAAGTGTCCAAAATATGCCTCAAAATCAATTTGAAAACAAAAGCCCGTAAAATTTAGAAAGTAGGTCATCGTGACCTACTTTTGTATTAACATGATGTCAAGTCCTGAGATGCATCAACTTACAATATTTGATGATCCTAGTCTTTATAGTAAGCAAAATATCAACGTTTTTTATAAGTGTAAATTTTGGTCAACTTTGAAGTGACCTTGAGACCACGCCCTTTGCCCCAGGGTCATGCCTTGAACAATTTTTAATCTTCAACATATCCTGACCCTTGTATGTAAGTTTGGTGAAAATCTGCCTGGTGGTTCTGGAGAAGAAGATTTTTTAGCAACCAGTACTTTTGGTTTTATTTTTGGGATTATCTCCCCTTGTTTTAGGGTCCCACCCCTAATTTTAGTACAAATGGTAGCCCTTGGGCCAAGGATACCCTGTGACAAATTTGACAATAATTGGCCAAGGGGTTCTTGAGTTATGGCCCATATTCTAAAAAGTTAACGCACACCGCACGACGCACACCGCACAAATGGCCATAGCATTAGCTCTTTGAGCCTTTGGCTCACAAGAGCTAAAAACTTGAATCCCCTTCACCCTAGGATGCTTTGTGGCCAATTGGTTGAAATTGGCATAATAGTTCTTGAGAAGAAGTCGAAAATGTTAAAAGTTTACATACAAACAGACAGACAGACGGATGGACAGACAGACTACAGACAAAATGTGATCAAAAAAGTTCACTTGAGCTTTCAGCTCAGGTGACCTAATTACCTAAAGGAACCAAACAAAGGTAATACAGCAGTATTTATGTTCTAAGAAACATTTGTTAAGGTAATTCTATTTTACAATAAAATTGCATTTCTCCTAAGTATGAAATCTTTATCCTCCTCTTATTGCACATAAAGCATATAAAATTTGAACCTGATGACATTATGTCGGTAACTGCAATGCGATGAGTAACTTGAATTGATTAGTGACAGCAATGATTGAGATGTGTTTTGATATACATGTCATAACTTATTGCAAATTATTCTATTTTTGGTACAATGAGGTTATTTTTGTTTGTGGCTCCAGTAAACATATTCCATAAACACTAAGTACTGTTTTGTTTATGTAGCCATAACGATGTTGATAAAGCGTGTGGTCCATCAAAGGTGTCAATATTTAAACACTTTCATCAAAATTTAACTTTTTGTTCCTCAAGTTTTTGTATAATGTTGTAGTGCTTATTCTTATATGCAACGTGAATTGGACTCTTTTTATCTGTAATTAAAGCATTCTTTGTGCAAAGATAATCGACTATTTCCTCATGTCCCTTTTCTGAAGCAATATACAACGCTGTTACTTCATCAGATGCTTGGAAGTTAATGTCAGCATTAAGTTTTTCAATCAAAAATTTGACAGTTTCCAATTTGTTTTCCCTGACCGCTGCCATCAGTGGAGTATCACCCCATCCATCAGTAGAATTAAGGTTTCCACCTGCAGTTGTCTTAAGATCCACCATACACTGAAGCAAATCGGTTTCCCCTAAGCTAGCTGCTGCTGTCAGTGGTGTAAGAAAACGATGAAAATTTGTGTCTGATGTGTTGCTCTTAAGCGGGGAGATGTTCTTGCTATTTTCCTGGCAATATGGTAGCAAAAATTGGAGGATTTCTTTTCTTCCTCTATAGCAAGCAAGAATCAAAAGGCGCGCATCTTCTTCTGAAGAAGTCCCAATAAGCAAGTTTAAAACACCGTCTTTTGCACGATTTATTACAGCTTGCAGTATCTCTATATGAGCATAGTATACCAACCAGCTGATAGTTTTTATGGATCTGTTCTCGGACTGATTTTCAACATAGGTGTCTTGAATGAGCAAGTGTTTCCGATTCTCAGAAGCCTTGTGAACTTCTGCTTTAGATGTCACAAGGTCTATTTTCTCTTTAAAAGATGGATCTTCTGGTATTTTTTCAATAAAAGTCCTCATAAACTTTGGCATGTCCATGCATTTGACTTTCTCGACAAATATTGTACGAAATTTATCATAGTCAAATACGTTGCTCGTGAAAATCTCATAGAGTTTTCCCTTTATGATATCGTCCATTATTCTTTCTGCAAGTAAATCGAAATGTCTTTCTTCCATGAAAAACTTTAAGTCTTCCTCAGGCTTTTTCGAAAAGGACACATTGTTTACAATGTAAGTAATTGAAAAGTGCTTGAGGACTTGAATTACATTGTTTTTTCCAAAATGACAAACCGCTACCTCTCCAATGGCATCATGTAAAAATGATATTTGTTCGCCTACTTTTATTGTGTAAGTCCCAAGCATTCGTCCCAGTGAATCAATTACTTCTCTTTTTGAAGTACCCAAATTACAACCACAACTATCTAAAATGTCGTTTCGAATGTCATTATCAGGAAAATTTTCCATAGAAATACTTCCTTCATTTACAGCACATAAAACCAATGACGTATAATCCACTTTCTTGCAATCTCGCTCATACATCATCCCGAACTCTTCCAGCAAATGTGTACAAGGATTATTAAAAAATGAAACATCCTGTGGGACTGAGGCAAACAAGTGACACAGCAATGGAAACATATGCATGAAGGGAGGTGGTGGAAGTTGAACATCTTTATACACAGATTCTTTTACCTTCTTTTCTTCACAGTGGCGTACAAAGAGACGTTTTCTTTCATCCTCTGTTAAACAATGCTCATCAGACTCCAAGTCGAACTTGTACTCATCCAAATTTGATTTTATTTCACTGGCAAGAAAAATTGTTTTCCGGCAAGTTATAATGTATTTCGAACCTTTCTTTAAAATATTTAACACTGCTTCTTTCCAAGTTTCAAACTTGTTAATTGCAGCCTGATCTATACCATACACACCAAAAGCATCATCTTGAATGAACATCTGCTTTTTGTCCATATTTCCATACCTCCTTATTTCCTCAGGGGATGATACTGAAACAACTTCCCATCCTTTCAATTGATATTCAAGTGCGATATGTCTTGCCAAAAAAGTTTTACCAGAACCCCGCCCACCTATGAAAATTGATATTGGTTTTGATGTTATTGCTTCTTTTGCTCTTTTCGATGCTCTTGTTTCTTCAAATAAAAGATCATCTTCAATCCATCCTTCTATTAGGGTTCGGTTTTGAACTAAAAAAAATCACTAGTTAGAATTAAACATGTTTTAAACTATGAGGGAAAACATAAATATGCAAGCATGAGAGTTATCCATAAAAATGTTTGAAAAACTTTTGCATAGGATGACGAATAAAAAGTAAAACAAAACCTCCTTTTTTCAGCATACAGATTTATATACATCTGTACAAGGCCTTAGCAAAGAGATTGTTTAATTTCTTAATATCTTATCTATCTATTTCAGAAGTGATTGAACATTTCAGATGTGCTTATATACGGTTGTTAAATTATCTTAATAATATTATTTTATTATTATTATTATTATTTTTATTATTATCATTATTATTATTATTTTAACATTATTATCTATGATATTAATACTTTAGCAATGGCTGTAGAGATGGATTTTTGGAAACACAGGGCAGGCATTTATTCGTTCATAAGCATTTAAATTCCTAATGACCAGTTTGAGATATAAATCTTATTAATTCTTTCGAATATTATGCCAGACGATGGAGCAAACATGAAAAAGAAAATTTTGATGATGAGGTGCAGTACGAAAACCATCTATTCTTTAGTATTCATTAATGAGAAGGGAAATCATCACATGATTATATTTCTACTGGTCCCAGCACATAAAGCAACATTTTGCAGATGCACTGTTTACAACAAGTGTTTTAGTATTTTTTGTGGCAATAAAACCACTTGTAAACATGTTTTTGAATCATCATATCATTATTTAGAAAGGAGTCGTGACAAAAGAAATATATTCACAAGATGAATTGATTTCCATTTTTTTTTATCTTTGAATACGTTACCTAATATATTCTCTGGCATAAATACTGTAGTTGTATTACTATTTGTTGTCCAGTATACCATTTTTCTGAAGGCGTTCACTATGAGGTGGATCTCTTCCCATTCTCTGATAATGCGGTGCAAGGCCTGAAAATACATAATCCTCAATGTAGAGAAACTCAAACCCATATCTGTAACAGTGTAATTCAGCTAATGAATTGAGATCATTGAACAAAACTACAGGTATTATAAGCAATGAGCTCACTAAATGATACCCCCGCCTCCCATGTGAATATAAAGGCAGTGTCCATGTTTTTCTGTGGGAAACCCAAAAATATGTGTCGGATCAAAAAGTAATATAGGAGGTGCACAATGACAATACTGTATACAAGGTTATTTTCGCCCTGTGTTATTTTCGCCCTTTTACACTGAAGTCTTGTTAACAATTTTGTCCCGTTTTAAATTCACTAAGTCACAGTTCTGTTTAACAAATCATACCGTGTCCTTTGAATTCGCCCCGTTTTCAATTCGCCCACTTGTGACAAGGGAGAAAGGGGCGAAATTTTCCTTTTATAAAGTATGTAATAAAGATTCTGTGAAGTAGTGTCATAAAATTTCACTCAGTGGAATAAGACGAGTAACTTGATAAGAGATGGGTACCCCAAGGCGTAACAGACAAACAGGCGGACAGCTAGACGGATGGATGGACATACCGATTACTATATATCCTCCCGCTTTTTAAGTGGTGGGGTATAAAAACTTTCCCGCATGATTAAAACATGTAACAAGTATTATGCCCATACGATATGAATACACTTTCCAGGGTTCACAAATAGTGCAACAGGAAAAGTCATATTATTGTATGCAATTCATTCTTCAAAGCTGAATCTTATACTTAAAAAGTAGTCAAAAGGTCAGTGGGGGAATTAAGAAAAAATAAAAAGATAAAGTTGATAAATCCTCAGCTAATAATAATCAATGCATAAACTTATCCAAAATTTTCTGGAATAGTTCCTTTGAAGCCGAGCAAAACACAAATTGAAAAAACATGAGGTAAGGGTTATGGAAAAGGCCAAGTTTTAATTTTTTTCTTCGATTAAACAGGTACATTTAACAACATAAGAAATATTTAAAAGATTGTATCGATTTTTTTTACACTTAAGGTGAAAAAAGTTAAATAAAGGTTACATAAATTTCTGTTGAGACTCTACATCTACAAGTTTTTACCTCACTGATGTAGAGAAAGAATCATTTGGACTTTGAACCATGGACACAGCAATAAATGAAATAAACACCCTAGGTCTAGTGTCTCTGTTTCTAGTTAATTGAATTGAATTAAGTGTCAAAAGAAAGGTGATAAATGTGTAAGCAAATGAATATAACCCTAATAAATATGTAAAATGTAAATGCATTAAAGGTTGGATAGGAGTATACTCAGTATTTAATATTTTCTCTAATTTAGCTTCACACAAATGTGAAATTAAAGTCACAAGTCCAGTAAAAAAAGAAAGCAGATGTATAGTTCTTCGTTATAAGTTTCTGCACAATTTTTTCAATACTGGGAAAACATTGTCTAATTTACCTCTGACAAAGTATTCCACATTAAAGACATTTTTTCGTAAGAAATATGAGGACTTTTAATTTGCTCTAAATACTGATGGCATCTTTCTAGGTCATCTGACAGGGACTTGTTGTTTTCAGGATTTACATTCCATCCTTTTGCAGGAGGATCTATTTGAAGCCCAAACTGCAGAAGTTTGTACAGAGTCCAAAACGAAAGATCTTCAAGTTTGCATGTTCCATTCAAAACTGAAATATAAAGCATGGTTTCTAAACTTTTACGTTAGCCAGAATACATACATTTTGTAACATTAAGGACACGACAAAGCACTAAATGCCAGCTTATCCTCATTAACTGCTTTAAAATATTAACTAATTTATTTTTTTTAAATCACATTTCTCAAAATATATCATACTTATATATAGATAAGTAAATTTATATGAAGACACTTACTAAAGGAAAATTGTCATTTATGTAGTTTCAGGGGATTACACATAGTATGAAGTGTAGTGATAAAACTTCACAGAGAAAATGCTAAAAAACCTTCCAATTGCTTCAGAACGAGTTTTTATGAAATAGAATTAGTTGTATATGGTATATATCTTGTGGGTGCATTTTAATATCCTTCTTTATGCTTTCCATTTCTCCGAACATCTTCATCCAACTGTTAAGAAAGGAAGTCCTGCTTTATGTCTTAGATTCCAAATAAAATGACCTGTACTTTCATATCACAAGCAATCCTTCCCTATGAAGTTTTCAACATGCTGTGGCTTAACACGGGCTATATAATGATTGTTAATAATCATGTTTACTTTGAAGACCCCTCTCCCATCCATCTTAAGAGTTTCATGAATTCAACTCAAATCTGTTGATCATAATGTGATCCAGTACTTTGACAGCATTCATTCTTCCTCTGCTTTGTATATAGAATTTATGTTTATTTTATTTAAATTAACTTTAAAAAGTAATGATTATCAGTTGTAATTATTAGTAATAAGCATTTTCCTGTGAGTGTATTACTTGCATATAATATTTTCATTCAATGACAGTTAGAATTAAATTAATTTAATTTCCATCGTTTTTATTAATTTGAAAATTCTGCAATTCGCACAGAATTGCTCGCATGCATGAAGGCCTCATCACTACTATACATAAACCATCAACAGACAGGAAATGTTCATTATTCTAAGATCAAAGACAGATTACACATAGTTTATTTTCAAAC